TGATATCTCTATAGCAGAAATAATAAATAAGTGGATTAATTTTAGCCTAATTCCAGAATAATAAATACCGTATACTGCTGCAATGACCTATTAAAAGGTTATAGTGGTGAAATACATTAAGCACTTATGTATCTTTTAATCATGAACTATTTGTTATTACACTTTTTGTGGATGCTCAGTCTGCTCATATCTCCATAAAAAACACTGAATAATTAAAATGTTCCTATCCAACGTGGTCATGATTAGATGTTATCTCATTCTGTAAATTCTTTCAAGATTCAGAGTAGAATAGGAATTGATATAGAAGCTAATACTAATCAAAATTACACCACAGCCAAATGCTTTTCACTTGTGTGCAGATAGCAATATATTATTGAGTTAGTCATATTTATTGTGAATCATACCACCTCCATACACTTGCTAAGCAACTACTCTATGGTTAAATATTAGGAACAAATACCTTGGATAATCTTCAGTTTCACAATCAATCATAAGGCTATGAAAAGTCAGACCAGCTGTGTTGGCAGCATCTTACATCTTTGAGTCAGGATGCAGGTTACCATCTAAAAAATATCCAACTAACCTGAGGGCCTCGGCAGATGGATAATTGAGCCATCTCCGAGGCAGGGAAGAGGAGGGGCAGCCACACGCTCGGTGCCCCTTCCTCCTCCCGAGGTTGCCCTCGGAGCCACCGGCCCTCCACACGGCCGGCGCTCCGAAGGCCACCTCCCGCCGCAGCGTCCGCACACGCTGTAGCGGAAAAGCCAGCAAAAGTGCACCTCAACCTTTTGGGGTGCACTTTCATTGACTTCTGAAAGGAGCGCTGATTTAGCACTCCTTTCAGGGGTGCTGACACTGCGCCACGGTGAGGATGCCTCAGTCCCGCAGTGCACTGTCCTGCAGCATCCCAGAACCTCTCGTCTGCTTCCCCCCTTAGTTGCATTTAGACCATACAGCTAAAAGGGATCTCTAACTTAAATACATTCAGATATAATAATTTACCTCATTCTCTGACTTCCAAACAATGTTCTGTTTCTATTCTATTGTAGGCTAAAGTTCCACCCCTATGCAGCAGTATGGATCATGTAACTCTCCTGATGTTGCTGAATGGCAAATCCCAGCATTCCTTACCATTGCCTATTCTGTCTAGGGCTGATGGGGGTTTCAGTCCAACAACATTTAGAGGGCTATATGATTCTTACCCTGCTACATCCACGTACCTTGAATTCACTTGAGTTTTTTAAAGGATAATAAACATAAATGTTATAGGGCATCTGAATAATCCTTTTGTGCATTTTTTTGGGGGGGGCACATTGTTACAACTGTCAAAGGTTCTCAACCTCTTGAGAAAATTACTAGATTTCTTCTTCATTTCTTTGATATTCTTAAATTAGTGTCCTAATCTGTATTTAGTTCTAATCTGATCAATAACACCGTTTGGAATTGTCTGAGGGTGACTGCAGATTCACTACACCTGGGATAGTGACAACAAACATATTGCTGTAAATACTGGGCAAAACTAAAAAGTTCATAGTTATTATCACTAGCAGCATGCCTCAAGGACTATATGGTTTCCTAGACCATAGAAAGCACAAGGGTGTGTGATTTAGGAAGGAAAAAATATGCTGATTTTCTGCTATGATTCTTCTGTCTTTTCTTTACCAGCAGATCTTTCTTCCACTCACTACCCTCTACTATACCAATATTTCAACCTTCAAATGTATACAGAATTCAACAGGACACTCAGAGCAGGAAGCAAGAGTTTGTGGGGCTTGTAGGGTTTGGAAAGCAATTGTTGTCACTAGTGTGTGTATGTGTCTACATATGTACATCTGGTGGAGGAGTTTATCTTATTAAACAGGAGTGGAGATTTCATTGTGGAGCATTGGCTGCTATTGTTGGAGTTAGAAACCATTGCATGCCTAAACTCACTGGTGGTTATATTACCACCCAGAAAGATAAAGACTACACAGTAATTGGGCATTGCCTGAACAAGGGAGTTAAACTGAAAGAATTAAGAGATGCTACATTTTATCTAGTCATACAAATTGAAAAAGCAGCAGATGGGTCTTTTTTCCTTAGCAAAAAACAAAAGATTGCTAAACTTTTAGAAATTCTAGAACTCCAAGATACCTATACTATAGCAATGACCATGGTAACAGGCTTTCTTAAAAATAATGATGTGGTTTTTATAATTTGTACAGAACATCAGTAGGTAAACTTCTGTATTTCCCTACTAATAAATGACTTGACATTGTTTGTGTTGGGATTCTGAGCAAGAAAACTAGTGCACTCACAAAGAAGGATTGGCCTGGAGCAAAAGGGGTGGTTACATACTTAAAGGGGACTATGGACTTTAAAATAAAGCTACCAGCCAGCAGTAATCCAAAAATTGTATGCTATACTGATGTAGACTGGACTGGAGATAATGCAGATTATTGATCTGTCAGTGGTTTCCTGTTTTTGTGAGTGAATGGACTTATTTCTTCAGCCAGCTACAAACAAGAATTATTAGCTCTGTCTTCCACAGAGTCAGCATACATTGATTCAGCAGAGGTGTATAGAGAATTGTTATGACTTGATCAGTTGTTGACTGACTTTGGAATAAGTGAATAAAAACTAGTTCAGGTTATAGAACACAACCAACTCTGCATTAAGCTTTATCAAACAGAGAAGACAATGTCATGCTGTAAGCATCTTGGAATAAGACAGGAAAGCAAAAAGCAGCTTCATTTATATACCGCTTCATACCACACTATTCAGTGTCTAAGCAGTTTACAACTGTAAGCTCATTCCCCCCCCCCCGCCCCCAACAGCTGGGTACTCATTTTAGTGACCTCGGAAGGATGCAGGCCTGAGTCAAGCCTGAGCCTTGGCTGGTATTGAACTCGCAACCTTGTGGTTTATGAATGAGTGGTTGCACTAACCCTAACCACTGTGCCACCAGGGCTCCTAGATACAACATAGTGTGAGAGCTGATGGAGAAAAGAGTAATCAAGATGATCTACTCTTCAGCAACTAAAATGACAGCTGATATTTTGACCAAGCCTTTTCCAAGGATTGTTCAAGAACCTGTAAGTCAAGATGGGACTTCAAGTGTTCAAGCACAGTTGAGAAGGCATATTGGAGTTAGCAGCCTACGCATGCCTATACTCACTCGTGATTAGATTGTACATCATTCTCAGATGTTAGGGGCAGCATGTTAATGGTAACTTCCTGTTTGTGTTTTGTTCACACCCACTCTCTTCCTGCATCACATAGCCTTTCTTTGTTCTCTGGGTCTCATTTGCTCCCATACCTCACTCTCCCTGTCTGTGTCTTATGTGTCATAAGAGCTTTTCTAGGTGACTCTTCTCATGGTGATTATCCTGATACCATGCAGTACTTTTTCTTTTCTTACCTTTCTTCAAGAAGCTGAACTTGTGTTGATTTTGCACAAGCATTTGTAAGTCAAACAACTTTTAGATATCTTACAAAGAAAACTAAGGAGCAAAACAGACCATTCCAAAGTAGCAGCTCTCACTGGATCAGGGTCACAGCAACCACTGCTTCAGGCCCAATCCAACATTTTTCTGGTGCAAAAAGAAGCAGCAAAATGCCACTCCTTTTTGTGCTGGGAAAATGATCCCCTTTCTCCACCACCACAGCTCTTCTCTGCTCCTGTGGCATGCAGCATGTAATTGCTGCACCACAGGAATGTTCACACACTGCCCACCATCTGCTCAGGTGGGCAGTGTGATGCCAGTTTGAGGGTGGAGTCGAGGCAGGTGGTGACTAGGCACCATGCCTCCAAACCACTGAAACACTGGCTCTTTCTAGTTTCCTCACTCTTATTTTCATTTTTTTTCTGCCTTGGAGAAATTTAAAGTAAAAAAAAAATAAAGTTTTTTTCAAGTGTTTGTTATTATTTTTTCCGGACATGTCTATATGAAGAAAATCAATGCAATAAAACTGCAAAACTGTGTGTTGCATATATTTATTTGTATTTTTCTGGGGAAGGAAATCCACAGCTTTCATTCAGATTTTCAAAGGTTTCAGTGATCCCCCAAATGTTGAAAACCACTGCTCTAGATGTGTGTGATGGAGGACATACTGCTCATGATCAGGAATATTCTGTTCTCCAAAGTCTTCTCAAAACCATCTAATGCATATCGGGAGCTGTCACAATTTGAAGTGATTGGAAACAATTCTATGAGAAGGAAGGATTACCCAAGAATATGAAAGAGAAAGACACTAAACCATTAACTCAGAAGTATTTTGTGTGAATGCACACACACACTTTGTAGAAATATTGACATTTGCATCTGAGCATATGCAGTACATTTTCTTTCCAACTTTGCACAGATCAGTCCCAGACATCTAAAATAAAATTTCGACCCTTTGAAACCCCAGGGATATCTTTGATAGACACTTTAATTTTTTTTTTTGGGGGGGGGAGGTAGTTT